AAGCTCGCACATAACGAGCTTCAGATTCGGCAGATGCGCCTAACCGAAGCTGTGCGTAGCATCGGTGACTTTGCGGAAGCACACCTGGGCATGCAATGAGACGAGCACGAGACCCACGCCGCATCTCCTTCCGAAGGCTACCTGAGGACGCCTTTCCAGAACCCACGGTTGCCGTATCTTCCGTTAATCTCTGTTGAGTACCCAGTTAATTAGCCAACATTTGGGCTTGAAGCGGGGCGTTCGATAGTGCGTGCATGCCGCTATCGGGTCATTTACTGACTTTGTTCGGCCAGATCAGGTCATTTATCAGCCGTGCGATGCGTGGCGTCTGCAGCGCACAGGCGGCGGGTGAAGGCCAGGGAGGCCTGGGCGTTGTGGTATCCAACCTCCCGTTCGAGCAAGTGCAAACCCAATCCCCAAAACTGTGGGCACTTCTGCCGACGTTTGGTGTTCGTCTGGAGGGCCTGATGCTGAAACTAAAGAATCCTTCGTTGGACGTTGGTTGACTGTGACGAGCCTGAGCCAACTGCGCCGCCTCCCTAAGGCAGAATCGAGGTTTCGCTGTCAGACATCGCGATGAGCGTGGAGGCCATGTCTGCAAAAACCAACGTTCACAAGACTTAGGAGCGCGAATAGAGGCTCACCAGGTGTCTAATTTAAGTTGTTTAACTTGTAATTTAATAAGTATTTTTAGTATAGTAGCAAAGGTAGCTATACTATAAGTATAAATCCTATAATACTATAGTTACTTATTTCTAAAGTATAAAATTCTATATAAGTAGTACTTAAATTCTTTTATAATACTTTAAATATTATTTTTATTATAAAAAATATATAGCTAATTTATATACTTACTAATACTAGTAACTTTATATATAAAAAATATAAATTAGCTACTTTATTTTAGAACTTAGTCTAGTAGTAAAATAAAATACTTAAGTATATTACTACTTATTATAATACTAGTAAGCCTAACTAAAAAGAATACTAATATAAAATAAAAGCTTTAATTTATAAGTAAGCTAAAGCTAAGTCTTTTTTTATATATTTTATAGTAACTATACTAGTAAAAGTTTATATTTTTATAAAGTAAAAATATAAAGCTCTTACTTACTTTTATAACTTTATAATTAGTACTTTTAATATTAGCGTAATAATTTTTTTAATCTACTTTTAACTAAAAGTACTAAGTAACTTTAGCTAAAAAAAGTATAATAATACTATAAAGAAAATCTTACTAAAATTATAACTAAAGCTATAAAAGTAAAAAATACTTTTTTATAATAAAGAATAATTAGTTTATAATAGTAGTAGAAATACTCTAGAACTAGATAAATAATTAGTGCAATCTTAATGCCTAACACCTCTGCAGCGTAATGCTAGACACTAGGGGCAATAGAGGCTCAACACGAAGATAGAAGAGCGCCACCGGAATGCGGCTCACTAGAAGGCAGGTAATGCCCATCGTATCGCTCGCCCATCCCTGCCTTCTCATCGCAAGATTGCACGTATCAGCGCTTACAGCAGACACAAGCCTTTTAGCCAGATGCCGAGAGCGGCAAGGTGACATGCGGAAAGCGGATTACCCTGAGACGCTAAAGCCACCTCCAGGTATCACCAATTTGGCGTGCATATCGCTTCAAGGATAATAGTAGGAAATCTGGTCAGGATCATGGTCCGTGCCGATGTACCTACACATGGCGGCGCATGCGTGCCCTTGCCGGCGGGCCTGTCTAACGGCCAAGCGCGAAGGTTACAGACGAAAGTATAAGTCTGTCGAACCGCCTGGTCTAAGAGGTAGTGTAACAACGATACCAGCCTCGAGTTCTCCACGCTAGCAAAGACTAAGGGACGTCACTTCTATTTTGATATCATCGATCACTTCATCGCTCCTCTTGCATTCGGTCGCAGTACATCTTCATCGCTCCTCGGTCGCAGTATATATACCAGCCTCGCATATCGCATTACCAACAACACTTCCTCAACCTTGAGTATCGCATTACCAACGACACTTCCTCATCCTTGAGTATCATCATAACCAGTTATCATGCTCTTCTCTACCATCACTACGGCACTGCTCTTTGCCGCATCTGCCACTGCAGCTGCCCTACCAAGACCTGCCAAACCGCAATACGCTCCCGCCCGTAACCTCAACAAGATCGCCAAACTCTTTCCCCAGAGCGCTCTTCAAGCCCCAGGCGACTTGGATCTCAAGTACGTTGTGCTCGGCATCGGCACACAAAATTACACTTGCGGTTCTGATGAGAGCGCGGCTCCTGGTACTACTGGCGCATTCGGTAAGAACCCACTCAACTTGACAGGAAAGGAGCTAACAACCACCAAGCCACCCTATACGATATCGGTACGAAGCTCAACGACGAAGCATATGCCAAGTGGAAGATTCCCTCTATCACCCCTCTCGCACTCTCACTGTACGAAGTGGCTCCTGGGCTAGTCGACATGAGCCTCCGACTCCAGGGCTACGAACATATCACCGGTCACCACTTCTTCGCCGACGTAGAAGGAGCGAACACACCAACATTCGCCTTCGACAAACTGAGCACGCCATTCCCCATGACCCAAGTGGCCAAGATCAGCAACGTCAGTGCACCATCGTACGCATGCCCAGGCAAGAACGGTCTACCTGCCGTCGACTGGCTATACCTACAGCACAAGACTGGCATCACTCAGGGAGGAATCAACACCGTCTACCGTGTCGAGACTGCCGGTGGTAACAAGCCTGCTACATGCAAAGGCATGCCAGCCACATGGGAAGTCAAGTACGCTGCGCAATGTAAGTATACCCGAAACACCCACGCAGCTAGAATAGTCCACTAACATCTCACAGACTGGGTCTATGGTCCCAAGTAATAAGCGCCGAGCTTGCGACGCTCGTTTCGAGTCAGTTACGAACACTACCATTTTCTCATGCCTTCTACGATCTTTCCATAATTAGGTTAGTCGCGCGCGGCTATTTTCGTCCCGCAAGATCTACGGCAGGGCATGGATTTTTTTTCCTTGTAACCTTTCATTTCATCTCTTACATTTACGATACCCTTTGGTTTTCATGGTTCACACGACTGTGTGGGACTTCGCTGTTACTGCGGGGCATCGGCATGGCTATGGGCGTTTACGGCTTTTTGCATCTGGTGGCTGTAGTGCACAAGGATTGGGTGTGTCCTTTCGATAATCCTAAAAGCTTCTTGCTTACATTGCGGTCGCGAATACTGGAACAATGATAGTCCTCTTTATGACGCGCTTCACTGTACGATGTACCACTTATGCGAGATCAATGACAGTATCGCGAAGGGCCTGTATCGCTCGCATCTCACCATCTCTCCGTGGAAAGTGCCATGACTACGCCCAGCGAAAGCTGGCAGTAGCAAAGTGAAGAACAGTCAAGAGACATCGCCATCCCATCGTCACACAGTCAACACGGCACATTCATAGCCGCACTCCACCAACACGGTCTGCTGACATCGACCAAGTGCCGGGCTACATGCCAGGCCCACTGACCACGTTGCGGCACAACTCGCAGCATGCGGCACAGTAAGGCGCGCAAGGCTGCTTGCGCTACAATCCACACCCCATCTGACGTGCGATGCTGCCAACCTCTCATTTATCTACGACACTATCGATACCCACAACCAACTTCCCCCTAAGCCCCCCAATGTCTCTCACGCGCCTCCTTCGCACCAAAGCCAAGAAAGCCTTACCCCAATACATGACGTGAACCACTCGCCCAGCCCTACAGCCCCTTCCGTCAGCCATCATTACGAGAACTACGTTCGGATATCTGATTGGATGGAGACTATACGACACAATGGTTCGTACTACTTTGGTGGCTGTGGCAGCGGGTATTTGGCTTGGCAAAGCGGGTGTGGATGGTGTGGCACAAATCTGGTTTGAAGGCGGCTACCTAGGTCATCCGGAACTTTACTACTTGGACGCAGGACGCACATGGAGGTTTAGCGTAAACACTATCGTTATCTTGGTACTGGGAAAAAGAAACCGAAGAAAGTGGGTACGGGAATTTGGCTTCCGTGCCAATGATGTGGCGCACCTGCATCCGGTGCGATGCCAATGTATTTTTTGTTTGGATCTTCATTATGTAGCTCAGATTTATTGCACCAATGTTCACCTCTGGTCTGCCTTCTCGATGTGTTGGACAGTCACTTCTCTTGTGCGCCTGATGCCCTTCAGATCCTCTTTGTCGTCGAGGATGTTGTCCTCGCTTCCAACTCGCTCCTCAGTGACGCTGTAGACAGCATTTCTTTGCTTTGCCTGAAGGCGTGAACTCGTGAAGCAAATTACCTCGTACGCTGGTTCTGGTTGGTCCTTCCAAGTTCTCGTTGCCATTTAAGGTGCCAGTCGTTATCAGAAACATCAGTCGACACTGTAGAGGGTTTGCTGAACTACCAATCTTTTGGTCACATGTGATGCTTGAAGGGCTCGCGCCTTTCTTGAACCTTGGCTCTCGAGTTATTTGGACGCTGCGACAATATCTACAAGCATGTGATTGCTAGAAGAACGAAAATTGGCTCTCTTATTACAAACTTTAGTACTGTTGCTCGATGTATTCACTTATGATCTCCCAAAAGTCTATGCATGGAGTGCAACATCGGACTAGGTTGTGCAAGGTGTAGTGTATCATGACTTGTTGACAATCTTGGAGAGTCTGATGGCACTGATCTGTCGTGTGTGATGAGCCGAACCGATGGTGTAAATTTGGGTATTTGATCGATTTCGAACCAGCGAAAACTTCTACCAAATCTATAGCCATCCAGTCAGAAGTTAGTCATGGACCGTTAGTGATTGCGCTGCCAATTTGGATTGCGCTATTGCTTCCATGTATGGTCGAAGGCATATGAGACAGTATGTACAAACACCAATCCCCAGTATATAGTACAGTCGTTCTTGTCGTGGCTTCCAGGGCGACCACAACTCTCCGGTCAGTGGCCTGGGGAGCCCCTCAGCCTGCGCGCACCCGATCCAAGGGCTCAGACCCTGGAGTCTTTCCCCTCATTGTTGATAGTCACTTCTGTTGTGCATTTGATCTGCTTCGAATCGTGTGGATGTCCTCCAAGAATGTAGTCCTCACTTCCTGCGCGCTCCTCGCTGACAGCATAAACCTCATTCTTCCCGCCTTGTGCCGATCCTGCAGTCGCCCTCCACATCTCATATGCCTCGGTATCGGCGTTTTTATCCGTTCGTGTACCGCCCAGCGTGGTCAAGATCGATTTGCGAGGTCTGGAAGGTGGTGCGCTGCCGATGGTCCTGGCTTTGTCGCCGTCATGGAATTGATTGTATTGGTTGCTGTTTGTGGACTTGCTGATTTTTCGCAAAAGTGGCTTTAGCGTGGGTATTGAGGCGGCGATGATTCCAACATTGAGCTGAACACTGAAAGAAGAAGTCGTTAGCACTAGCTACATGCAAGCGAAGTTCATCGGGATAAGTATACTTACAAGCCCCAGAATCGTACATTGTTGTTGCTGTGCGTTATGTTAGTCAAACAGCCAGTCAAACTTGGAGAATTGGGCCATCACGTACAAATGCGAGTCCTTGTCTTTGACGATGGTGAGTTGATATACCGTCTTGACAATACCCATGACCACCGCGCTGATAGACAGTGAGTAATGGAATGCGGGCACTGAGTATGTGATGAACTCACACATAGCCTAAGCTGAGTACAGCTATCAAGCTGATTCTCATCCGTGAAGACATCTGGAGATTCCATACAATTGGTATGGGCAATGTGGCGAAGCAAACATCAGTGAAGATGTTGAAGGCTACCAATGTATTAGCCAATGCATCTCCGATCATCGCAGTTGTAGCCTTACCCGAGTTTGCTATTCCAAAGTGCATAACATACTTCAACGGATAGCAAGTGTTCGCGTACTTGGGATCCCAGAAGCCAGAGAAATGCTTGCAGCGTACGAAGAAGGTTAACCAGGCGAGAACGGTATAAAAGATTACAAAGCCTAACAGCATGTTGTTAGAACGATACACCATGCCAAAGCCGTGCAGCAGAAAAGAGACTTACCAATCAATGCCCACAATGTGCGTGAGTACCATCTGTGGTTGCTCAACCGGAGTAAGAAGAAAGCGATTGAGATCTTCAACAATCCGAGCGCGCCCATAGCAGAAATGATGCTTTGCCAAAAGGCGATTTGGTCCCAGATGCGTCTATCATCCGGCGAAAGGGTCGCGGTGTGTCGACCAAGACCGTAGGGCCCTTGCAAGAAGAAGCAGATCCAACCGACCAGAGCCCCAAGCTATTGTAGTGAGCATTGCAGATCAGTGATTGCGAGCAGAGGATGGGTACTCACAACAGCTAGGACGATCACATAGTCGTCTCGTCCGGGCGTTTTAAGCAGGCCTATGCGTGCATAAAGACGAAGACCGACGCTGATCAGGGCGAGGATATGGAATACACCAGTAAGGGCGAGGAAGCGAGTAAGGTTGCTTTGTGCTGCCCACTGAGGATCTAAATCCGCCTGCGATGATGGTGCAGTCATGACTGCATAGAAAGAATATGAGAGGCCGTCAAAACATCCGACTGGAGAACGACGAGATGCAGCCTTGAGGGTGAGGCTGTGTTTAAAGCGGTTCAGGTATGTAACTTGACCACCAACCACAAGCACAATTAAACACCAGGTCTTCCCGCGTCGCCGCTCGTAGCGAGGTAGATCCAAGGTTGGCGTCTATAGGATAAAACGGCTTTCTATGGAACATCTAGGGGTGACTACGCCGCGGCTTCGCATGAAATCACCATATGATACCCAGGTGACTGGTTCCAGCTTCCTGAACCATGAGTTCGGGGAGCAGATGCCGTGTATTTGCACCAATTCGCCTTCAGGATTTCGGAGCATACCCTCTTCACGCAGTTGGTTTCTAATCGAGAGCCCAGCAGTATGGGTCAGAAGACGAGTGCTCCTTCGGCGATGGCCAACTTCCGTTCGCCACCTCGCGTGCGTTGTATGTACGTTTTACGACGGAACAGCCATGTCACATTGGTGATGTGATTGGCGGAGGCACACTCGCAGCAGCCGGATCCCAGTTGGAGTGTCCTCGGAACCGGCATCAGGCAGGTTAAATCTCCTACACCCTAGCGACGCCGCGATCCTTCAAAGCCCAGATGTGGTACCATATCCGAGAAGACATTATCAGAGGTCCTAGTACGATAGTAGAGCTGTTGACATGTAAGGGGTTCGCGTGTTCCCGTAGAAGGATTTATGGGAGACTCGGGTCGCCCTCGTCGGGAGTTCTGCCGAAGAAGACGAATGCCACGGTTCCTCCGCATGTCGACTTTTGCGCTCCTTATCGATCATCCTAACATTGATATCTGAAGGCACCGGAGGCGGCAGAGCGAAACAGATGGTATTGCAGAGTGAGGCTCGGAACCTCGGGAGAATGGCAATGTTGCTAGTGTGCCGTCCCACACGGGACGCGGCGTTCGAGGCGGTCGAGCCGCGACGCACGATCCAGCTGGCGCTCACAGCTGCGGCGTAGCTATCTCACCACCAGGGCACCTGCAGCATCTAGCCTCTGTGGGACGACCCAACATGTCGCCGCGATCCTTTTCGATAGAGTGGCCCGCTCGCATGGGATTCGGGAATTTCGGAATCTCAGCGTCAACACATGGAAAGATCATCCCCCAAACCCTTCATTCCCTATGTATGCAGTAATCACAAACCTGCGTCGGTACATAAGATCTTCCGACCACGTGTACCACGTGTGAGCAATCGATGTCGTGCTCGCAGCTCATGAAGCCCACCAGCATGTTACCCGTGCGTCGATCCTGCGAGTACTCGCTTAGCGACGGTGGGCCTCTCTCGTTCAGCAATGTCCTTCGCATTGAGAATCACTTTCCCGCAAGGCAAGTAGAGAGAATCCGACAGGATCACTAGGTGGCTTCTACACCTCGATCAGGCTTACATGATCAAGACCAACCCAGCGAGCTCACAGGTACATGCCACTTCGAAGACCAAGGGATGGTGTCTTGCAGATTGCATCTGCAAACCCTTCGTACCTCGCAGATCACACCCACCGGCTCATACCACTCGGGAATACCACAATTGGCCTTTGCGCCGCACAGCACACCGGGTTTATGCTAAGGCAGCCAAAATCCTCAGCTACATCTAGAATGTCGCCCGTCAGCGACCATGACTAGCAGTCCTCACCTCATCCGCAGGCTCCAGTCGAGATAGCTTGTGGTCGCCTCTTCGGCTGTAAGTGTCCGAACCCAGTCTCTGCATGCGTCTGTAGAGCTTGGAGGTGCTCCTCGGTGGCGCGGTATCGGCAGTCGAGCATATTAAAAGCCATATCCCCCACCATACATGAACTTTCTCATCGCTCAGCCAAGCAACGGAAGTCGCTCTCAATTATCTTTCTCGTTCATCTAACGTCACACTCAAGATGCGTCTATCCAGCCTTCCAACTGCCCTTCTGGCATTCGCCGGTGCTGCCCAATCTCTAGCAGTCGAAAAGAGGGACTTGCTTTCGGATCTTCAGAACCAGGCTCTTGAAAACCTCAAGGCTGCGGAGAAGAATGGTACCCTCGAGAAAAGAGGTAGCTGCTCTATTTTCAATGCGTCTGTTCGCAAGGATTGGTAAGAACCTCCAGCATCTCTTTGTCTAATAAGACTAACACGCGCACAAGGGCTATCATGAGTGCGAAAGAGCGAAAAGCATACATCAGTGCCGTACAGTGCATGTTCGATGCTCCATCTCAATCCGATCCCACCCTGGTACCTGGTGCAAAGACCCGCTACGACGACTTTGTCGCACAACATATCAACCAAACGTTAACGATCCACGGAACCGGTAACTTCTTGAGTTGGCACAGGTACTTTGTACATGGCTACGAGAAGGCGCTGCGAGAAGAATGCGGATACAAAGGCTACCAGCCCTACTGGAACTGGTTCGCCCACACGGATGACCTGACCAAGCACCCTGTATTTGATGGTTCAGCGACAAGCATGGGCGGCGATGGAGAGTATGTGAAGCATAATGGAAGTGCAGGCGGCAAAGGCACGATTGCGCTGCCTTCCGGCGCAGGAGGTGGATGCATAAAGGATGGTCCGTTCAAGAAGTAAGTCCGGGATCTCAGCCCTATAGTATGCGACATTTCTAACAAATTCAGCTTGCAAATCAACCTTGGTCCTGTCTCTCCAGCAATGGCTGGCGAGGTACCCGTCAAATCGCCACTCGAATGGAACCCACGTTGCGCAAAGAGAGATCTCACCTCATACGCATCCTCCACATGGATGACTTTTGAGAACCTCTACAACGTCACCCTTGGAACGGCCTCCAAGAACGTTGGACGCTTCCAGGACGAGCTCCAGGGACGTTTCCCTGACGGCTTCCTCGGTATGCACGGCGCAGGCCACTTCGCAATTGGAGGTGACGGCGGTGATGTTTTCAGCAGCCCCAACGACCCTGCTTTCTTCCTACACCACGCAATGGTGGACCGCGTATGGTGGCTCTGGCAGGCGCTCCATCTCGACCAAGCCAAGTCCGTTGCTGGCACCATCACCATCTTCAACCAGCCACCCAGCCGTGACGCTAGGCTTGACGACCCTATTGAGATGAACTACCTCAATCTGGACCCTACAACTATCGAGGATATGATGAGCACACTAGATGGAGAGCCGCTGTGCTACATTTACTTGTAGAGCGTCACCATTGTGGTGTATGTCTAATGAATAATTCTACCAATTCCAAAATACGCGAAATTTCCTGGTATTGGTGATGCTCGATGATCATGACTTGACCATACTGAGTGTATGGATGCTCAGAAATTGATAGAGCCGTGGACTGACTCGTACCTGTACCCACATTCTGCAGCCCGCTGATTGGTCCGATCACCACAAGCCATCCCCATCCGCTATCGCCATCCTACTAACACATCCAATAAAACAAAACAACCTACAATTTCCTCTCCAAATGCCCCCAAAAACATGCCCAAACAGCCCATCACCATAATCGGCGCGGGCATAGCCGGCCTAACCCTAAGCCGCAGCCTTCTCCACCGCGGCATCCCCAGCATAGTCTTCGACAAAGCGCCCCCAAACCGGCGAGGCTTCAACTACGCCATCACCCTGCACTCCACCGCCTACAAACCCTTATTGGAAATCCTGAATCTCAGTGACACAGCATTCAAAGCCCGCGTCGCCATCGACGCCGAAGATGGCGGAGTAGGAAAACATGGCGAAAACATAGACATACCCAGCCACGGCGGTTTATATGACACCTCCACGTCTTTCCGCGCCAATCGCGCGATATTCGAAGATCTGCTAAGTCAAGACCTGGATATCCGGTTGGGCTATTCCCTCCAATCAGTCAAAAGCACGCCCACGGGACCGAGATTGCGCTTTGCCAATGGCGAGACGTGGGAGGGCGGAGAACTCGTCGTAGGCGCCGATGGTGTGCATTCCAGTTTACGCAAACTGCTACTGCCGGAGAAGTCAAGAGTGGATGTTCTGCCTTATGCTGTGTACTACGGGAAGAGATGTATCATGCGGAAGGACTTCAACAGTATCTTTGGGGGCAGGGCGGAGGGAAACCAGGGGAGGAATGTTTGGCAGACGACCAAGGGGGATGTGGTGCTTACTGTTAATGTGGATAAGAAGGAGGATAAGAAGGTTTGGGTTAGTTGGATCTACTCGCGGAAGGCGCGTGGGGAGACGGATCCGCTGTTCAATCCTGCTAGGTCAACGAATGCGGCTGAGAAGATACCTTTGGAGTTTTTCAAGGAAGTCCGCGCTCAGAATATCTTTGGTTATCCTTACGCGGCGATGGTCGATGTGCAGAGTATGCGCAGCGATAGGATATTGCATTGGCTGATGCGGACAACGTCTACGCCGTTGCCTGAATTGCATGACTTGCTCGCGAAGAATGGCGTGTGTCTGTTGGGTGATGCAGCACATGCAGAGCCTATTTTGGGAGGTAATGGAGCAAACGCTTCAATCATCGACGGCTTGAGTCTT